TGGTCGCGCTGGCAGCTCTCCGTGGCACTGAGGGCAGCCCCCTGCTCGCTGCCCAGGCTGCTGTGGCTCCCCGAGAAGGCATGGGAATGGGTGCTCCCCAGCACCCTGCCCATGGTCTGGCTGGGTTCCCCAATAGGTGCTGCAGGGACACAACAGAGATGCTGCTGTGGGAGGGAGAAGTGGGTGCAGATGCCGGGCCAGGCTCTGAGAGAGCAGCAGCCTCCCCGCTCCCAGCCAGACAACCTCAGAAGCAGGGTCAAAACCCAGTTCCCATGCTCTGCTCCTAAAATGGCACCGGTGATTCCTGTGCTATAAAGTCAGGAGTGAGGAGTTGGCCAGAGGTGTGCTGCCAGGTGGTCGGCAACAGCTCCCAGCCGCAGGGACAACGTAGCGACCCAGCACCAGTTTGACCCATTGATACTGTTCCATTGAGACAGGACCGGATCCTCACCCGGCACAGCTACAGCCAGTGGGCTGCACCAGCGCAGGGCAGGCACACGGCTGAGCCAAAACCCACAGTACCACGAGCCGAACGTTCAAGCACTTTACACTTCCCACCCCCCAGGCACAAGGAACACCACCAACTCCTCACCCAGTCCTGCTCGGTGCTTTCTGCCTTGTGAGCTTTTTGACCCCGCAGGCAAGGGCTTGTCGTCCAGGCTGGAGGAACTGAACTCCGAGTCGCTCTCACTGTCGCTGGAAACCACTGCAGAAAAGATCGGGGGGAGGAGAGGAGAGAGACAGGTATTCACAATGTTCATAACACTTACCAAAGAGGGTGCCACATGGATCCAAATAAAACATCAACAAATGCTGACTTGCTGATCACGTTCTCCCTCTCCAAAAGGAGCCCGACCTGCAGTTCCCCCACCGCTGTTCCTCTCAAATATGACGTGCTTTTACTTTTTTACAGACGATTTATAACTCCGCCACATGCACTGCAGCGATGCCAGCACCTGAAGCAGACACACACACCACCAGTGCTTCTCTCCCAAACCTGACCACGACCATGGGGACCACACCGCTCCTGTGCCACGCTTTGCTCCCAAAGCTCCTTGCTGCAAAGCTGAGAGCCCCGCAGCACGGCTGGCCCTCAGGTCGGCACGCCAGCGAGCCCCCTCCTCATGCCATCTGCTGTCTCCCACACAGAAGTGACATGTTAAGGGCTGGGCTGGATACAAGGCTGGTGCCTGCTCAGCTGCTGGTAGAGGGGTCCCAGCTCCACCATAAAAACATCCATATTTGAGCAATGTGGGGAGAGGGGTTGGCTTCCTCCAAGCCACATTTCGAGTGCAGCAGGGCCTCTGTGAAGGCTCCAGGATCTTTGAGGAAAACACCAGATAAATACTGAGCACATCAAATAAAAAAATCCTGCAGCGATTACATGAAGAACCAGCCTTATTAGCTCATCATCCATTCAGCAGAAACTCATCCCTATCAGCGCACTGCCCAGAACTGTATTACTCCTATGCCTCCAAGTCTTAAAAGGCAAGGGTCACTCCTCTTCCCCAAGGAGACGGTTCGTCCATTTCAAGACCACTTTTTATTCTTCATTTTTTTTCTCCCTGAGTTCTGGCCCTAATCCTGCTGCTTTCCACCCTCCATAGTTTCCTCAAGAGCTGAATGAGCTTCATTTTGCCAGACACAACTCCCCAAATTGGCAGGTTGTTTCCACTTTTCCATGCAATTATGCAAGCACCTCTCCTGCTTATACCAGTGTAAAAGATAACTCGACTGCCAGCTGCTCTGGATGAAACAAAAAAGGTGTTTTTCCATCTCCTGGGTTTTTGTAATGGCCTGATCTCAGAACAGAAATGATGGGGCTGAGGAAGAAGGTAATGGGAAATCAGCTGTCTTTTGTTTGAGGGATTGCACCTACAGCATTTCTCCACCTGACCAATGCAGATACCAGCTCTCCTGGCAGCTCAGCAGCCATTTCAAACAGTGGGTCACAGTTTCCGATGGAAAGTACAATACTGGCTCACGTGGGACACAGAGTAGGCAACGCTGCAACTTACCGCCTCTACTGCAGAAAAAGGAAGCCCCAAGTATTTCTTCACATTCATTACGACGCACTTATAAGCTCACGTTTATATGAGAAATGAGCTCCCTGTTCTGCTGCTGAAGAAACCCTTTGCCCCCGCACTGTCAGTCATGGTGTCCAGCCTCACGGTGCTGCCAGGCGCAGGAGGGACATGGGTGCGCTGCTGCAAGGCGACAGCCACGGGGTAGCAAAGAGAGCTGCCAGTTCATCTCTCCGCATCAGTGCTAAAATTCACTGCATGTGGTTCGCAGAACTACAAACCCTTTAACACTGCCCAGGGCGTGAGGACGGGTGTCCCCCCCCTCACACAGGCGAGCACAAGCTGTCAAACATTTCTGTCAAGGACCTCTGCAGATACTCCTGTATTCAGGCAGCGTCTGTACTACACAAAATATTTTATTAAAAAAACCCTAATACCTAAAATAACATTTTTCTGGAGTTAACATCTCGGAGGATATTAAAGCTGTCTGCCAGCATTATTGCAAAGTGTTATTGAAATTGCCCTGGCAGGCAGCTCCCCATGCAACGCCGTGCTGCTGGGAAGCACTGCACAGTGGGCAGGCTGCCAGGCCCCCTCCTCGCTGCCTGCGCAGCTTTTCCTCCGGGGAACCGGCTCCTCCTGTGCCGCCAGCCTTCCCCTCCTGGCACCATCAGAACCAGGACCTCTCACCTGCAGGGAAAGCGGCTGCAGAGCTGAGCCGGGCAGAGAGCGAAGCCCCATTGCAAGCAGGGGGGCTGCACTTCTGGCTAAGAGTTCTCAGAGCAAAGGTTTGGCTTTGGGCTTTGCTGTCTTAAAGGCAGCTTCGCTACTTCCCCAAAGCTCTGTGGGAGAGGTTGGGGACTATATATAAATACTGCTAATAACAACCCATACATACCAGGCTCTTTGCTACAAAATCCAAATCTTAGCTCTGAGAATCATTCTGACCATCCCATGCCCAATTCCCTCAGCAAATGCACTCCCGTGCCACTTGGTCATCATCCTTTTTTGGCTTCCTGGATTCATAAAATCCATTGCTTTAGAACTGCTCCTTCCTCCACAAATCCTTTAAAAATGCTGGAAGTCAGGATTTATTTGGAGCAGGCCCCAGTGAATCAGTGGAGGTGACTTTAGCTGCCTTCCCTTCTGCCATTCAGCAGTTCAGAGAGAATCAGCACAAGAGGAGGAAAATATTAATGACACAGAGGCACTCACACCGCAGGAGCAGCCCTGTCTGCTCTCATTTCCTCTGCTGCCAAAAAGAATGTATTTTACCCACTGCACCAATGTTTCCCTTTAAGGTAATTTTTCTCCCAAAGCTCCCAGACCTTCTGCTGGCACTTTCCAGAGCCCAGAAGTCATAAATCTGGTGCTCCAGCAGTTGCTGATATATCAATAAGAGTCGTTGGACGGCTGTACTTTCAGAGAATGCAACAGATTTATCCCTCTCAATCTCCAGCTGACTGAAAAAAAGCTCATTAAAAAAATATGCGGAGATAAAACTTGCAAGAAAAGCACTATTCCCACAGAGAATGGGTCACTCATCGAGGGCCTGAACCCCGGCGGCTGCTGCCAGAGCTCGTGATTCTTCTGACACGTGGTTCAACCTCCGAGCCAGAGGTACCAGAGCCTCGTGGCACGGAGAGCTGCAGGGAATGGTGGAGGGCTGCCAGGCTGCACTTAACCCCAGCAGCAGAGGATGTGGGGAGGCAGCAGGGAAAGGGGCCCTTGGCTGGGGTTGAGCTCTAATATTAAATGCATGCATTGGGCACGGGCACACCTGCTATGGTTAGAGTCAGCCATGCTCCCTCCTGCTGCCCATTGCAAGGCAGAGCTCAGTCCCTGCACACACAAAGCTTGGTATTTCTTACAGCTGACAAAAATACAGAAAAAAAGCCACATGGACACGCTCGGGCACCCTGCAGCAACAGCGCTGAACAGACACACGTGCCCAGCACAGCCAAGACGCGCTGCATGAGCGGGCTGAGCACGAGCCTTTGAGCACCCGTACCATCAGCCTTTGCAAACGTGACCTCCAGGGAGTGGGGAGGCCGACTGCTCCCGGTCACTGTGGGTGGCAGGGTCAGAGAGGAAGAGTTTTACTACAACCCAAGTGTCTCACTGAATGCAGCTCCCACACTACATCACGCCCAGAGCTGCCCGCAGTTGCAGGGACATCTCCAAGCAGGAGGAGGGGACCAGACCCATCTGCTCTCCCCTTTAGAAGCAGCACACGTGCAGCTTCAGCGCTGCCCAAACTTATAGAGAAGTCGGACGACTCCTCGGTGGCCTGCAAAGCACTTGATGTGCCCCAGCACGCTCCTTTCTGCTCCATCACTTGGGGATTTGGCCTCCAGCACACAGACGCCGGACGAACCCGCTGCGTTGCCCTGCCCAGCTGCTGCTCCTGTGCCTCCGACAGCACCAAGCCCAGCACGTCGCATTGCTTGGCAACAGGACCAGAGCACATTGCAACGGGAGAAACCACCAGAGACCGAGCAGAGCAGCAGGCAGCCCTCATGCCAAACAGTGCAACAGCTCAGGGATCACACTTCTTTTTTTCCACCCAAATGGTTTACATTTTTTTCTGCAGAACTCAGAGTTCAGAGGAAGGAAAGCCCTGCTGCTTACAGCTCCCCACCCTCTGATGGCCCCATCCTGTCTGACCCTGTGCAGAAACCCACCCACATTCCACCACATGGAGCAGAGCTGCTCCCCAGCACAAGAAATATTACTGCTATTCTCCCCTTGACAATACATTTGTGCCTTAACTAATAGCAGGGTTCCCATGGCAACTGCTTGTTTATTACAGAAAAACTAAATGCAACGGCAAATCCCAGTGTCAGTGAGCGCAAGAGAAATAATGGGTGTGTAAAAATAAAACTTCTTCCTGGTGGGTTTGGCTTTTCTTCCAAGAGGTACATTCCCATGGTCCCGAGGTTCCACTGCTTTCCCACCCTTCTGCAGCAGGCACAGCCAGAGCGGTCAGTACCCAGGGCCTGGCACTGATCCCCGCAGTCGGAGGGGAAAAGGGACCCCTGAGGTTTGCCCCATCCCTGCCGAAAAGCAGCTCCTGGCATGGAGAATGTTGAAGGGACAACTGTGGCTCCTCTCTCCCAGGCTGTCCAGGGGCTGTGTCGGGACATGGCTGCACCTGTACTGGTCCCACCTGACTTGAATCGCTTAAGAGCAGAGAGACATCTCCTTCAGCGCCTTGGGAGGCAAGCAGCGGGGTTAGACACGGCTGGCCAAGATAACGGAAACCCCACCGAGAGCAGCCTGTCAGAGTCAGGCACGTTAAATGCCAGAGCTCGTTCCCCAGAACATCCTGCCAAACAAGCAACGGGGCTTTGCTCAGTGCCGAAAGGACGTGTTCAGACGCGGGCGTACGAGGTGTGAGCTGACAAATGCTATCAGCCAGGCAGAGGTAAGGCAGGCTGCCTTGTCAGCCACGGCCTCGTAAAGCCCAGTCCAGGCCCAGTTGCAGATTCACGCCGGCAATATCACAGCTACATCATCTCCACGGGGGAAGATGGCTGCCCTGCACATCGTAGAGGTTTTGGATGACAAACAGCAGAAGCCCCAGCACTGACAAGTGAAAAAAAGTTAAATAGAGGGGCGAGATGTACAAGCTCCCAGCTTCAGAGATGAATTACAGCCCGCAGCGCCCATTGAAAGCTATCCAGAGGACAGACTGCCTAACAGAGAAGGGCAACAAGGAAAGAAAGCACCAGAAAATAAAACCATAAGTTAATATTATCGCACCCATAAAACAGCAGCCAGCTGAAAATCAGAGCAGAGGGAGAAAGGCAGATCACCACCCACATCAAAGCTTACCAAAGGCCACTTTCCTGTCCTCCACCTGCTCCTTCCGATATTTAGGGGGAGGCCTTCTCCCAAAACAAAACTCAACTAAAAAGCTGAACTAAAAAGCAGGCCAACTCTAGGCTCAACATCTTTGACTTGTAACGTTTTCTGTATCATGTGAGCACAATTCTACCTCATCAATTGGTTCATTTGCTAAGACAACTCCTTCCAAGCGTCTCCTGGAGGGAAGTACAACCATCTATTACTGATCTAATTTGTCTTTAATTACAACAGTTACAGTAGGGTTGGGAGTGCTTTCCTAGCTGGGCCCTGAAGAGGAGGTTTGTAAACCTGAGTCTCCTGAGTCCTCTTTATTAAAAGGTTATTTCCCCCTGCACTACTGATAAGATTTATCTTGATAGTGAAGAGTGTATGCTGCTGCTACGCTGAAGAGGGCTTCTCCAATTGAGAGGATCTAATAGCAAAAGACAGAAGGGGAGAGAAGCCAGACAGTTCTGCGAATCCACACCAGCAAGAAATGAAGAGAAATCAAAGCAGAATGGCAGCAGCTTTAATTCTGCAGCATCCATTCGCTGCTGTGCTAATGACCCTGAGTGCTCAGCTCCTCAATGCCGAGCTGCTGTTTCCCCCCAGCTGGCTCTAGGCACAGCACTGGAGTGGGCGTATGAGCAGCGACAGGGTGGGCAGATGGAAGAGAGGGGGAGAAAAAAGCCCTACAAGGTAGTGTTGTGAATGGGATCCAACACAGCAGCAATTCAAGATGCCACATGTGATACAATGGTCTACTTCAATCAAGATCTACCTCAAGGAACAGGTATGTGAGTGCTGAAGCTAATAAATCTTCAAGCCTGTCAGTGCTCTGGTTCCAGCCTTGCACAGGGTTAACTTAATCAACAGCTTCTGGGAGACACATTTAAAGAACAGTTCAGCACTGAGCTCTCCATGCTGCAAACCTCAGCCCCCTTCCCAAGGCCTGGTGAGGGAGCTTCACCCTTTGCCAGTCTCACCTGCTCATCAAGCACAAAAGGACACAGCCAGTATCAGCTCGCTCCTGCCCACTGACTACAGAAGAGTGTCTCTCCCCACTTGCTCCAGGTCCTGGGAGGACCCCAGGGAGATGCTGGGGGTGTCATTTCTAACCCAGCTCAAAGCAGCTTGAGGTGTCTGCCCAATGGTGCTCTGTGGAGCAGCAGAAGCAAGCAGCAAGCAGCTCAGGGAGGGAGGGAACGAGACCAGTCTTTTGACAGCCTCGGCTGCACAACGATGTCCATCAGTGGCAACATCCTACACAATT